CTGCGCGCTCCCCTGAAAGCCCAGCTCACCCCACTGAGGCCCAACTACATAGTAAAGTGTCTGTGGGTCCCAGCGAAGCTCTACCCGGTCCCTGCCTGGGAACCACCATTTCTGTGCTGTTCGGTGATGGGTAGTGTTCCCGCCTCACTTTCTGAGTTGGCCGCTGGGTCCCGGCTGGCTGCCCCTCTGCTCACCACTCTGGGGGGCGGGTCCCGAGAAGGAAGAAGTCTTTCTTCGAGACCTGACTTATGACTGGGCCACCACCGTCCTGTGAAGCCGTTGGCCGCTGACCAAAACATGTGTATTTTTCCTCTTTGAACAGACATATGGGTGGCATACAGATTTATCCTGGGAGAGAGCGTATTGTTCTAAGTTGTCCCGGCATCTCTTAATACTGCAGCATAATGCTTACTAACTAATAGTAGTTACGGTTATGAACAGCATTTAGTAGTATGTACAGGGCCCAGCAAACTTTCCCTGTAAAGGGCCAGATTCTCAATATTATAGCCTCTGGCCACATGACCTCAACTCTGCTAGCGTGTGGGAGCAATAATAATGGATAGGGTGTCTGTGTTCCAATAAAACTTTATTTGTGACACTGAAGTGAGAATTTCATATACTTTCCACATGTCACAAAATAGTCTTCTTTAGCTTACTTCCCTCCCAACAACTTAAAAATGTCAAGTCATTCCTAGCTTGCAAGGCTTCCAGAGCCAGGCGGCGGCCAGGGGCTGGGAGCAGATCTGCTCTGCGGACCCTTTTTGTAGTAAAAAGAGCCCAGGGCTTACACCTCGGCACCTGGACTGGACCGGGGCCTGTGGTTCGCAGGCCTTGTGACCCGGGGGCCAGGCGGGATTTGCCTACCCCCTGGATTTCCATTTATAACATGGAAATTCTAGCGCTCAGCTCCCCGAGGGAATGAAGTGGGGTAGTTTGAGTAAGTGCTCAGACACCGCGCGCAGTAGGGCATAATGTCGTCTCGTTACTGTACACACTGTGCTCCATCAATGTTTCTAGTGGCCTGAGCCAGCTCTACTTCCAAATGCCGCTCTGCGTCTGCATCTCCCCCCCGGACAGCAGGGGCAGAGAGAGTGGGAAGAGGCGTACTTTACTCCATTTTAATTAAAGGTATAGGTTGGCCCTAAAGTCTAGAAACAAGATAATATTATCGATGAATTGCCTGTGTTGCCTGTATTCTGACTTTACAGCCATCCACCGAAAGGAGCTCCTGGGAGAGAGTATCTACCGTGTCTGCAGGACATTTCATTTCCAACCACCCTGCTGTGAACCACAGAGTACCACCCAGGCCGAGGGAAGGAAGGCTGAAGACTTGTCAGACTGACGGCAAGCTGTCTTGGAAAAGACTACGGATAAAAAATCTTGAATTGCTCAGCTAACCATATGATTTCACATTCTTGCGGCGAGTTCAAGTATAGTTTCTAACAGCATTTTTATAGCCTTCTTCTCTATCCATCTTTACAAATAGTTTCTGAACCTCCCTAAGATACCTGCTTAAATCTAAATAAAAAAAAGCAAAGGGGGAAAAAAGTAAGAAACCGAAATATAAGAAAGTGTAGGGAGGGAAGACATTTGGAGACTTCAACATTTCGGCTTTATGTGAAGTCGTAAGTAATTTTGAAATTAGGATGTAATGGAAAACAGACCTTAGCACCCTCACCTGGTTAAACCCGGAAGAGGAAATTGTGCTTGAGAGACAGGTTGGCACTTTCAGGGACAGTAGCTGATTTCAGGGAGGAAACATGAGTTACTGAACTATGGGAACGGACCTGGGACTGGAGGAAAGAGCACAGGAGAGGGACGGATGGAGGAGGGGTGGGCACAGGGCACCTTCTCCTGGACCAGTGGCTGGGATGCCGGGTTTCCAAGGAACCGCAAAGCGATGACCCGGCATTACCCAGATGTGCTCATTGCCAGGGGACACCCGAGACACAAACAACTGCAGCTACACGAAGCAGACACAGGTGAAGAGGGCTCTGTCAGAGGGAACGCCGCTGGGGCGGGCGGGAGTGAGAGTCTGAGGGCCTCAGCGCCCTGGGGTGAATCGCGCTTTTCTCCAGATCGGGGTCAACTGGAGCAAACGGCCACCTTCGGCTCAAAGTGCCTCTCCAGCGAATGGACCCCCCATGGTTTTATGGAAAAGAGACTCCGATACACCAACCAGACACCACAATACCAATCGAGAGTGATTCTTATTCCTTATGGGTGCTGCTGCATTAAAATAGGCTTATTTATTTTCATCGCACTTGGTTTGCTAACAAAGTGGCTGAGGGAAGGGCGTCTGGATACGGAGTGTGGAGACTGGAAATCGTGGGGGCATCTTTGTGGAACTGTCTTAATGGAAAAACACCATTCAGTACTTGCTGCTTAGAAAATTCAGTCTTCATGAGCTGCTTTCCGTTCCAAATTTTAACAGTTGACACAAAATACACCGTTAAACTGTTATCAATAATTGTAGAAAAATAGACATGTTTGCGTGGGACATTCTAGTAAAAGGGTCTCCTGGAACATCCTCATTGAGAGACTCAGAGGCTCACGTTACAAAAACGAGATTTGGTTCATGTTCTGTCTCCAACTACATGGACACCAAAGACAGTGGGGATAGGGAGGGCCTCACCCCGGGGGCCCTGTCACCGCTACAGAACCGACCACCATGTGCGTGACCAAGGGCTGTCAGGCTCTTTGTTCAGTTGTGCTAACGGGCCCCGAGCTGCTGTTCCCACCAGACAACAGGGCGTGTGTGGTCCTTTAAGCCTTAGTAACTGTTTTAAAAAGGCCCAGTGAGTCTTCAAGAGCTAAATTAGCAGACTTTTTGCAACCCCTGCTCGATTTTGCTTTGTGCTAAAAGGCCACGCCCTGCAGCTCTGGGGGTGCTGCAGGGTGAGCGCCCACGAGTCAAGAGTGCCCTGTATAAGGCTACGTACATACGTACGTGGAGGAAAGGCCACAGTTCCTCCCACAGCCTGGCAGGAAGCGTGTGGGGCTCCCTCCTCCTCCTTGCCTGCAACCTCCTCAGAGTGTGGAAAGAAGAAACGATCCAACAGATGCTCAACGCAGAGTGAGATGTTGGCAAACAGGAAGGGGCTGTGGCCCACAGGTTTGTTCTCCAGGAAGTCAGTGCCAAGAAGCAGTTGTCCTGATGCAAAGTCTTGGAAGTGGGAGAAGAGAGGCCCCGTGACAGACGGCAGAGCTGCTCTCATCTCCCACACACGCTTTTTAGTAGACAAGGTCCCTCCACTATGGCGAAGGCTGGGTGATCTGGTGCGGGAGAGCAAGGTCAACAGGGAGGGATGGCCAGTTTGAGTTCTTGGACTTCCACGGGCAGAGCCTCAAACTGAGCACAGCTGTGGGAGCTGACAATGAACTTGCATCCAGTCAGTGGATATTGATGATGGGCGACTGCGTTAGGGGACAAACAGTTTAAAAGAGTAAAATTAATGTGAAAGGTCTTCACAGTGCAAGATTTCCACCTGCCCTTGTCGTTTTCATGTAAGATTCTCTTTCTTTTATTTGGAAAAAAATTTTATATTGAAATTTAGATTTTCAGTACAAAATACCACCCTCCTTCTTAGCTCTCCCTCCATTCTTTCCTTCCTTCTCTCCTCTTTTTCTTCCTCTCTCTGTCTACATCTATCTTTGCAGATTGAAATGAATTAAGGCTGCAGTTTTTTGTTTTCTTTTGCTTGGGAGACACTTTGGATTTGATTTCTAACCTGTGGCATACTTTTGAGAGATTTAGTAGTCACCAAGATTGTTGGTGTAATCTTTGAATGTTGAACTCTGGTCATTTCATAATAATAAAAGAGTAGAATAGATAACAATGCAAGAAGCCGATGGATAAGCCCCCGGGTCAGGAAACAGTGCAGGATAAAGTCAGTGTGTGAGGTCAGTGACACTATGAGCCTTTATGAAGTTCATGACTCCAGACCCAACCATCTTCTGCTCGCCTGCCATGTCTCCTTGTAAAAGTCTGTAGTTTCTCGTGACTACGGAGTGGAACCGCTGGAGAATCAGTGGTTTTGCAGAAGAGTGTCCCAAACTACAAAGGGCGAGCGCTCGTGTGAAAAGCATGAACATGTCATTGGTGACAAGCCCGAGAATGTCCTCTGGGAATTCTTCCCCAGGCTGGCCAGTGCGGCCCTGGTTGTCTTAAACGAGAGGCCTCAGTGTGTAAACATTTCACAGTATATCAGTGTATTGGTGGTGCGTTTTGCCATCTGCTGGACCTCCCAACTCCCCCCAGACCTATGGCTTATTAGATTCAACAAAAGGATCAGTGAGGGAACAGTGAGGGACCTGAACGGGCTGCCAATCTGGGACACAGAACAAAGGCCATGCACTAAAGGGCCAGCAGTCAATGGGACCAAAGCAATTCAGAAAAAGACATCGGAACGGAAATGCCTACTGTACAGTGAGAATCTTTTTTCTTTCATCTTATTTCTAAAGTTATATATCTAAACCTACACTAATTATATATCTATGTACATTATTTAGAAGTTGTGTTCTACAGTACTTTTGTACATGCTGGGTTTTATTAATAACTGCCAAAGAAAATACTTACATAAGGCATATATATGTACAGTGTTTTGTCTTTGCCTCACCTGGGTCCTACACCTGTGATGCCCTTGGGGGGCGAGCACCTGCCCTGGAGATGAAATGTGTGGGGATCTAGGAAAGTGAGGGCTACCCTCTGTGTCTCGCTGCAGGAATGAACAGGCACTGGGCCTAATGTGTATCCCAGGTCACGTGTTCCCCACACTCTTGTGACTGATCTGGTCTTGTACAGCTCATGCAGGGAAGTAGCTTAAATCTCTAGGAGTTGGGTGTGTGGAATTTAGGGAGGAGACAGGCTTGGGCCATCAATGAGGGCACCTTACACCTTAACCAGATCCGTGTCTACCTCTTCAATCGGAGTAACTGAGGGAGGGCAGGCAGAGATTTTACACCTTGAAGATTTGTTTTCTGGTAATGCCAAAATTAAATACAAATAAAGTAAGAACAAAGTAAGAGAGGCAGAAAGCAGGAGGATGAGAGACAAGGAGAGGTTGGGGGGACAGGGGAAGGGGTGGCCTGGCCAGGGGACAGGTTGTGGGGACAGGAGAAGGGGCGGCTGGCCTGGGGAAAGGTTGGGGAGGAGAGGCCGGCCGGGGGACTACACTTTGGACTCGTTCTCGAGGTTGGCCACGTCACCATTCCGTTCTGTTTGCTCCTCGAGGTTCTTTTCTTCCTCTTCGGTCTCCAGTTCCGCATGTTGGTTGAGTTTGCTGGACACAGACCAACTGAGGGGCAGCTCTGCCCTGCTGGCCAGCTCAGCCAGCTCTTTGGCACTGAGGGAGGGGGTGCTGGTCTCATAGGTCTCGTGGAAGCTGTTGTAGTCGACTTCGTAGAACCCGTCCTCCAGCGTCAGGACTGGGGTGAACCGGTACCCCCACAGGATCTCGCTGGTGATGTAGGAGCTCCGAGCTTGGCATGTCATCCCTGCAGGGGGAGCTGCAGCAAGAGACAGTGAGGCCCGGCCGGCTGGTGTGGCTCAGTGGTTGAGCATCCACCTACGAACCAGGCGGTCAGGGGTCGATTCCCGGTCAGGGCACGTGCCGAGGTTGCGGGCTCCATCCCCAGTGTGGGGCGGGGCTGCTGCCTGCGGCTGTTCCGACTGTGACCTGCATAGGGTGTCACAACGATGGAGGTGCTGTCCATGTTGTAGACACACCTAGCATGCACATGAGCGTGTGTGTGCTGGGGAGTGCAAGCCTCCCAGGGGCGCTCAGGGGAGCAACATGAGAGTCTGGCTCTCATCAAGCTACACTTGCCCGCCAGGCCACACACGAACACACAGGCCCAGGCGCCCGTGCACAAGGGGCCCGTGCACACAGGTGTCCATGCACACAGGGGCCCGTGCACACAGGTGCACACTCATGTGCTCGGGAGAGCCCTGAGGTCATGACTCTGACCTCCGCCACCCCAACTGTGCCTAAGTCCTACCGGGACCTGAGCCAGGAGTAGCTTCTTTTTAAGTGTGAAGTGACAGACTGAGGGAAACGTCACCCGTCTCCCGAGAGAAGACTAGCCCACAGGCTTGGTGTAAAATACAGGGAATGCAGTTGGCGCGCTTTCCCCGCCATCTCTGCAAAACTACTCAGGACACGGAGGCGTCCATTCGGTCATTCCTTCAGGCCGACTTCTCCATTAGCTGCGTAGGCCCCGCTCCCACGGCCCCACCGCGAAGCCGGGAAGCCATGGAGGCAGCGAAGGGATCTGGAACAGGCACCGAGCAGCCTCGGGCCAGGCCTGCACGCCTGGGACTCAGCATGCAGAGCCCATGTTTAGATTCACAGCAGCACATCGGGTGGGAGACGTTATGCCGCATGCCAGCGCCATGAAGCCTCCTCAAGAGAGCCTCCTTCCCCCTGGCAAAGGCCGGAGGAGTGGCTCAGCAGGTAGACGAAGGATCAACATTTCCAAGAATCTGACTCCAGCAAGATGAGAGGGTGGGCCCCTCCCCCCGTAGCGTCCTGTGAAATTTATCTGTTGCCAGTATTCAGACCCCAGGACTGCACTGGAGATGCCCTGGGCTTACTTTTTATGTTTTTAATTTTTATTATTTATTTACTAGAGGCCCGATGCCCGAAATTCGTGCAAGAGTCGGCCTTCCTTCCCCCAGCTGCCGGCACCGGCTTCCCTCTGGCACCTGGGACCCGGGCTTCCCTCGCAGCCCTGGTTTCGTCCAGAAGGTCATTTGTAAGGAGGTCCAGTCTAATTAGCATATTTTGCTTTTATTATTATAGATTTTTTTTTTAGGGAGAGTAGAAGAGAGAGGGAAAGACGGAGAGAAACATAGATGTGAGGGAAACACATTGATCGGCTGCCTCCTGCACCCGCCGTGACCAGGGCCCGGGCTGATGAGGAGCCCTTGACCCGGGATCCTTTGGTCCACAGGCCGATGCTCTGTCCACCGAGCCACACCGGCCAGGGCGAGAGTTTTCACTGCAAACGCCAGGCTGCAGGACGCGACCCTCCTTCACTCTTGGTCCTCACGCTCAGGAAGAGCAGCCCTGGGTTCGTGCGGTAAGAAAGTGCCCACACTGTGCCTCCGAGTGTCCGTGTGGGAGAGCCCGGGGGGCCGGTGGCAGGGAGGGGCGGTGCCGCCATCTCTGCGGTCCTGGAAGAACGCTCCCCTCCGGCAGGTCAGTGCAGCCCGTGCTCCTCACCCCCGAGAGCCGCCTTGGCCCAGGTGCACGATGCCGCCAGGGAGCGCTGCTGCTCCTTCTGTGGCCCACCCGTTGGCGGGCCAGTGGGACTCACCACTAGCTTCGCAAGAACAAGTTGAAATGTCTAAAAAGGCATCTACGTGCGTGCTCCTAGTTCTACTCTCGCCAAGTCGTTGATGAATTCACAAATTTGGTATTGAATTAAGTCACAAACACCGTTCGTTGATCAGTGTGCATTGTATGCCAGGCGCCAAATGCTTTCTGTGCCTGGGCCATCACATCCTTACCACAGCCCTCTCTGGTGGTGCTGACACATCTATTTTGCACAGGAGCAAACTGTGCAAAGGCCCAGAGAGGTTAGTTAACCATCCTGGGTCACACAGGGTTATGGACTGAACTGTGTGCCTTCAACATTCATATGTTTAAGCCCCAACCCCCTGACGTGGCTGTATGTGGAAACCGGAACTTGGGGTAAGTAAGGTTAAATGAGGTCAGAAGGTGGAGCCCTAATCCAATAAGACTGGTGTCCTTGTAAGAGGAGGCGACACTGAGAGCGCTGTCCTGTGTGCACAGGTGAGGCTAGGTGAGGACGCAGCGAGAGGGCGGCTGTCTGCACGCCAAGCAGAGAGGCTCCACCAGACACCAACCCTGCTGGCACCTTGATCTTGGAGCCTCTGGCTTCAAGAATGGTGAGAAAATACACATCTGTTGGTGAAGCCACCCAGGCTGTGGGCTGTGATGCCAACACAGCCGACTAACCCCAGTGAGAGTGGACCCAAGGCTCTAGTTTAGTGAGTCGGGCTCCACAGCCGGGGCCCTCCATCAGCACACTATTAGCTTTGTTTTTGAAGACAGGAACCATGTGTTAATGAGGATCTTTACAGCTCTGGGAAGTGCCCCCACTTACATTCTACAAGATAAAATGGGGTGCGGACGAAGCAGCGGGGCCCAAGCAGCTGCCCCTGGGGTCGGACCTTGGCTGCCCACCACACCTGCTCACCATTGCTGATCCCCGGTCCCCCCTCTCTCCCACCTGCCCTTGTGTTCTCCTACCAGTTCTCCTTCTAAGCCTGTGCATTTTTTCTTGTCTTCTGCACAAGGGTGTTTATTCTTGACCAAATCTGGGGCACTGCTCTCTAGGAAGTTGCTTGGAGACACCAAGCCACCTCCATCCCTTTTGAGCAAAACCAGGGAGAGTCCCCAGTCCAACTGCAAACCCCAGGGTTCTTCCCAGCTCTCCCAGGCGGTGCTTGTGTCACGGTTCCCCAGCGGTGAGCTCCCGGCTCCCCACCCTCCGTAGATGTCTCCCTGGCTCTGCCCCACAGGCACACAGGGCAGTGCGGGGATGACCATGTCCCTCACCCTACTGGGGACTGGCTACGGCAGACCTGGGTCTCACAGGAAGGAGCAGGTGCTGGTTAGGTTGACACAGGGAAACCCATGTGACTCTCCCAGCCTGGAAAGCCCCCCCGAACAGTCCAGGCGAGGGCGGGCCAACCGGGACTGTCAGATGCACTTGAAGGCCAATCAGGAAGCTTCCCGCTTCGGAAAACTCTATTCTGATAGGACGCCCATCCGTCAAAGACTGCCTTCAGATTTCTTCCTTTTGGTCCGTAAACCCATTTTCCTTTGAAAGTCCTCCGAGGCTCTCCCGGAAGGAGCGCAGCAGCCGCCCCCTCGTCTGATCTGGAACCGCCTTTCCTGATGACGGGGCTGCTCTCTGTCCTTTTGACGTGATCAACCGCAGGCCCATGAGGTCAAATTCCAAACGCCTGGGCAGCTCTTCCTAATCTTAGCGCATCCCCCCGGAAGTGGGATCCCCAGAGCCCCGTGTCCGAGTTACTTCTTTCGTGGTTCTTTCAGGTGGCCACGGTATCCACTTCATACCCAGCCAGGTTCAGGTCCCTGTCTGTATTTCACTGGAGGGTTTAAGTGGTTCAGAAATGAAGGCAGCATAACCAGATGCATTCAGAAAAGCTTCATTCCCACCGGCCCTCCCACCCCACGTCCCCGCCTCCTCTGTGGCCATCACCGCTCTGCTCGCTCCTTTAGGATCCCGGACACCCTGCTGTGGGGACCGGGGCTTAGAGTCTACACTGCAGACCCCTATAGCTCATGTCCCGGCGGCCACGCGTGACAGAGACCCGCGCGCGTGTCAGGGATGAAGTGGAAAATACAAGTGAGGTCAGAGCAGCGCGCATGGCAGGAGCGCAGGGCGAGTGGAGGAGCAGGCAGCGGCGGGTCCCTGGAGACAATGGGACTGCAGTTAGTTCGGAGGAGAAACCAAGAAAACCCAGAAAATCCAGAAAACCGAGGTCTCCTGCGAATGCCTTCGCGGGGGCCGGCTGCTGCAGGTTCTGTGATTCCCAGCCGACCCACCGACTTCTGCGGAAAGCTCTCCATCTGCCAGAATGTGCAGCGAGGAGGAGGGCGCCAGGCGGCCTGGAGGCCTCGGGAGGGGCGGCGGGGAGAGACTTTTTGCTTTGCCCGCAGAATGGATGGAAAGAAAAAAATGCACCCGAATACTGTGCTCATTCATGGGGCGCCCCAGAACGCGAACCCGAGATGCTGAGCCCGAAACATTCTCGCTGGTGCAGGACCCCCCTCGTCAGGGCGGCAGGGACCTCGAGGGCCACGCCCTCCTGGTGCAGGTGGGGAAACAGAGGCAGCGTCACCAGCCCAGACCGCCCACCCGGCCCCTCCGGCCCCCAGGCCTCTCTCCGCGCTGCCCCCCCCAGCATTGCGTTCCCACCCGGGAATGCTGCTCCGGCGCTTCAGACACACTCTCCTCCCTCCAGCACAGGAGGGAGCCGGGAATGCGCCCAACTCCCTCTCCCCACGTCCTCTCCCGGGGCAGGGCCAGGGCCTGTGTGTCTGTGGGTCCATGTCCATGTCTGTGTGTCTGTGCCTGTGTGCCTGTGTGTCTGTCTGTGCCTGTGTGTCTGTCTGTGCCTGTGTGTCTGTCTGTGCCTGTGTGTCTGTCTGTGCCTGTGTGTCTGTCTGTGCCTGTGTGTCTGTCTGTGCCTGTGTGTCTGTCTGTGCCTGTGTGTCTGTCTGTGCCTGTGTGTCTGTCTGTGCCTGTGTGTCTGTCTGTGCCTGTGTGTCTGTCTGTGCCTGTGTGTCTGTCTGTGCCTGTGTGTCTGTCTGTGCCTGTGTGTCTGTCTGTGCCTGTGTGTCTGTCTGTGCCTGTGTGTCTGTCTGTGCCTGTGTGTCTGTCTGTGCCTGTGTGTCTGTCTGTGCCTGTGTGTCTGTCTGTGCCTGTGTGTCTGT